GAGGCCATTGCTATTAGGTTGGAGGCCATTGCTATTAGGTTGGAGGCCATTGCTATTAGAATGGAGCCCATTGCTATTAGGTTGGAGGCCATTGCTATTAGGTTGGGGGCCATTGCTATTGGGTTGGAGGCCATTGCTGTTTGGTTGGAGGCCATTGCTAGTAGGTTGGAGGCCATTGCTATTTGGTTGGAGGCTATTGGGTAGGAGGAAATGGTACTCGGCACACTTGTGTGTCGGTGCCTTTCCCTCTGTTGTCCCTTTTCTAGGTTGGAGGCCATTGCTATTCGGTTGGAGTCACACTGCAGAATCCAAACCCATGAAGCAAAGCAGCAAAACGGTATATAATAATATGCAAATCATCAACCTCCTTGCATGGATTTTGGTCAGCTTCCCTCTTCGCCTGTGGGTTTACCACGTAACGTGTAATCAACCTGGTGGTCAATGCTCTACTACATTTGAACTGGAAGCGAGTCATGAGTTGGCCCCAAGGTCCTTCTCATCATCTGCACAATCCTTTGGATGCAAACGCTTGTACCTGCAAGTGCGTGGCGAGCGCCCGGCTGACTCCGCCACAGTTTTGGACGGCAAGGGTAGAAGTCTTGAGGGAAGTATGTCCGGAGTCCGCATCCGGATTTGTTCGGCGCTTTTTCGGCAGACGAGCTTGAACCACAGCGCGAGAAAAATATCGCCCGAGCGCTTCAGTGTGGCTCAAACATGGTCAAAGCACACTCAGACTCACCAGGCTGAGGTGTTCCATCCAAGTCAGAACAGATGATTCTGACCAATCCCTACACTCTCACTGACTAAGGTGGCAGTGGAAAATGCTCTGTTTGTATCTGCTTGTAAAGGAAAGTCTTCCAAGGCGCCATTGTCCACTTCCATGTGATGTGCTCCTCAGAGTGAACACCACCACCACCACCACAACAACAACAACACTGGTCTCAGACCCACCTCTGTCCAGCACAAAAAAAACTCCGCGAAACCTGTCTGGTCCCCCCACTCGCCTCTGTCGACAAGCTTCCGCCTCGATGATGATGGCGCTCGATGAGCTGAGGTGGCCTCCACAGCCGCTCGAGGAGCCTTTTTTCGAACAAGAAACCAGGAGAAAAAAAACTGTTGGAGAACAAACACACCTCCCTAGACTTCCAAGACCCTCCCAAAATGGTTGAGCTGGTTGGTAGTGGTCAAATCCTTCGTTGCTTCGGCGAAACCGCTTTTTCCAGCGGCATGGTCCCAGTCTGCACCCCGCTCTGAACCCAGACCGGTGTCGAGAGGAAAACTTTGAAAAGAGCTGCTTGCACCGGTCGGTGAAGCACCACGGTCAATCTGAAAACGGAGAGCTTCACCACGTCGTCCACTTCTCCACTTCTCCACTTCGCTCCCTCCCGTATGATGGGAACCCCAGTTCCCTCTTCGCACCTCATCCCGAGTCACAGAGAGAAACGATGCGGTTCACTCTTCCCGTACCAAAAGTAGGCCCACCGCACCGTCGCACACCATACACCGGTCGATTCAGAGCGGAAACCCACTCAGTCTAACGAAGTCTTCACTGGTGCCGGCACCACCGGTCTATAGCCCAGCTCGCCCCATTAGGCCGCCGCACTTTCCGATCGGGCGAAGCCGGCACCGGCGCTGGGGGCTGGGGCAATCTTCCCCTGGGCAGACCGGGAGAGGGTGCGGAGGCTCCCAAGATGTGAACTCAAGTCCCACTGAGAGAAGACGAAGAAGAACTGCAAGAGGCACCCACCACACGTTCTTCTTTTGGTCTTGAAGTTGGGGTGCTTCATGAATTGTCTATCATCTTGGAGTAGTTCGGTGTACCTATCCACCAGTTTTTTTGACCCATCCACCAATCTTTTTCATGTCTCCCCAAAGCTCCAGGCCCCGCCGCCGCGGCATTGCTCGCGGTCTTCCGTGCCAAGGGGCGGTGGCTCCCGGTTTAGTAATGAGGAGCTCACGATGCGAGAGTTCCATGACTTGGTCACCTGTGAACAGCGGTGACCAGTGGACGGGTGCGAGTGTGAAGAGCGAAGACGTGTGCGGAGACTTGGTGTGAAGAGTCCAAAGAAAAGCAATACACCCAGCGCTCCTTCCTTGGGCTGAAACCCCAGCAAGCCTAGGGAGGCTGACCCCCCTAGGAGTTCCATCAGTGGGTGTCTGCTGGTTTTGACGAACCCTGAGAGTTCCAACGTGAGAAAGCCCGAGAGTTCCAACGGTTCCTGTCGCGCCAGATTCACTGGCGGTCCCTGGGAACTCGGCAGATTGACCTAGTCAAGTGATGACAGGTGAAAAATGAGGATGCCAATCACAAGCTTACCCTATTGTACGGATACTAAGCATGAATCTTTGGCTGAAACTGTGGGAAGGGGGCGGGCTTGACGTCATCTTAGGGGAGATGAATCAAAGTTAATCTAGGAAGGAAGGCATCTAGCGACACTTCGAGCAACACCGAGGACCTGTCAGAACACTTTGAACGTCTATTTATTATGTTGCCGTCCCGTCCTTTGTCATCGATCTTGAAGCTAGTTCTCGTCATGTCCGGCTTGCAATTAAACTGGCCATCTGTCTACATGATGGTTTCTGATGTGTTTTCAATTATAACTGCAACTGCTATTCCACCCAAACATGAACGAGGAAGGCATCGGAGCAAACACCCCAGTCTCAACCAACCGCCCCCAACCGCTGACCGGTTTGCGGTCTAACTCTGAGAACTGCCTAAGAGCGAAAACGGCTCCGAACGGCTCCTGTGGTTTCTTTGGTCAAAAGATATATGTAAAGAATAAGTCCGAGTCACAAAGAAAACGCTCTCACCATCTCAAAAAAAACCGGGCGTCAAGACGCGAAGATCAGGATCGTGGAACATACTGTATATCGCTTCCAGAAGCGCCCAGCGCGGCCTCCCTGCCGGGCGAACGCAGCAGGGGAGGTGGCGAGTGACAGATCTCTCGAGAAAGGTCAAGAACCCGCGGCAGCGGCGAAAGGGCGGCGCGTGCACTGGTTCTTGGCTGCCACACGACGTCGTTTTTCACCAAACCGGAGAGGTCTGACCAAAAGCTTCGGGATATAGCGACCGTTCAGGTGAGAGGTGGTCAGCATCAACAGACCAAAGGAAGGGGTTTGAAAAAATAGAGTAATCATATCGGTTTGGTTTTCGTCTCTCTCGTCTTTGCTTCGTGTCTTTTGCCTCTTCTCCACAGCGTCTTCGCCAAATGAGACTGGCCAGGTCTCTTGCCGCAGCTGTTTCAAAGGCAACCTGTTCTGTTGGCAAAAGCGATTGCAAACTCCAAAGGCTTCAGGAGTGGTCGAAATCCAGGCTGCAACGTGATCATGTGTGTGTGTGATAGAGGATCCTTTGGGTAATATTTCGTGTATATATGTAGGACAGCTCTTTAAAACTTTGCTCACCTGACTTGTTTTCTGCCTTCGGGGACCACATCCAGCTCTCTGGTGAAAGATTACTGGTTCGGTGCCTGTAATTATGGCACTTTGGATAGGAAGTTGGACCTTTTTGCCTCCTCACAGGCTTTCAAATGATGCTCAGCTCCTCCTCAACAATGTTCGACAGCTTTGGCTTGCAATGAGGAGGTTGGTTCCAATGCCTATGCCATGCCAAGTATGCAAGGAGTTCTGAGCATCCTACAGTTCCCTCTGGCCACATGTTCGTCACATGGCACAGAGCTCGTTTTGCGTAGAACGGAATGGAGTTGGCAGGGTAGCTTGGTGAGCCAATTGGAACACCAATTGGAACACCTAGAGTTTTCCCACGCGCCTTTCCAAGTCTTTGGATCCTAAAGCTCTTGAGCGCCGTCAGGCACACGTCATGACAATCATGACCTTGCATGTCCAAGACTCTGTTCACTGCCGTTCACCCACTGCTCGCCGCAAATTGTTCAAGGCCCTCTTCAAGATCGCTGAACAGGGGCTGCGCGTGGACTTGGAACAGACCACACTCACCAGCGCAGACAGAGACATGCGGAAGACGTTTCGGAGTCGATGCGGAACTGGACCCAAAACCTGGGTGAGCTGAGGTGGAGTTGTCCCATGGGACCGAAGGCGCTCCCGGCTGGGATCGGCCCCACCGGCTTCGATGGCGGTGTCCGCGGCGCCCGAGACCGGAGAAAATCGGGGAAGCGATGGCGCAGGTCTAGTTCTTGGGGGGTCAAATCGTCTGTGCTTTTTCTGCCTTTCCCCCAACCCTCAACCTGCCAAAGCCGCTCCAGGGGCGACACTTCGGCTTGCGCAGGTCTAGCTCACGTTGGACCAGCGAAGATGGGCAGATCCGGTCTGCAGAGCCACGGCCACGGCCGAGCTCGGTGCGAAACCCGCACGGCGTCCTCGGAGCTCGCTGCTCGCGGCGAAGCGAAGCGGCAAAAGACCTTCGGTCTAGTGGACCAACTTGCTGGGTTTGGGGGAAAATGTGTAGAAATGTAAAGGTTCTTTGTCTGAGTATTGGTGCTTCTGGTGCCATTCGGGAGATGACTTTGGTCAGGGTATTCGCAAGTATGACTTTGGAGTTCAACAGCACTTGTGCTACGTTTGTCCTAGGATTTCACACATGTTGCGCTTGCTTCACGGAGGCTCTCAAAGCAGCAAAGTATAGTCTGGAGTCTGGCCACGTCACGCGCCCTGGCCCTGTCACGCGCTTGGGTTGCGTAGGATGCTTGTGTTTTCAGCTCATTGAGTGTATCTGCTTTGTCTTTCGAACGTTGCTTGCGATTCAATTGGCAGTTTCATGTTTTTACCGCGTGAGACAGCTCTGCTTTGCGGTATGGAAACACCCCGTGGCCACGGAAAAAGATCTTGAAGGCACTTGATGTGGTGGTCACCTTTTTAGATCACGTTTTTTCCCGTGTGAAAAAGAGAGGGTTCCGATCTCCCCGCCGCTTCGCGCCGGGCACGTCGCGTGGAAGCCGGCCTTCACCTTAACTCGTGCCGACACTCGGCAAGTGGACCGTCGTCTTGAAGGTTGTGAACGAAGCGTCAAAGCCGCCCTCCTCTTCATTCCATCCATCTCCATCCCTCCTTTTCATCCCATCCACCCCTTCGATTGCTATAATTGGTTTGCTTCTATGGTGCTCTCGATTGCATTGGCTTGTTGGTTGGGCCCTCCCTGGGTGGCGACACGTCACACATTGTCGCAGCTGCTTCTGTCTCAGATTTTGTTCGTTCTCCCCACTGCGAGGCGACACATCACACATTGAGGCAACCAAATGCCGCGCATTCTGGATTTCCCCTCTTCCCGCGTCAACAACCAAGTGCCCAAACCTGTGGCATGTAAAATGTAAAACATTCCAGGACAATTAAAAAAAAGAAACGTGCCTGCTGCTCGTGTTCAGTAAGTCTGCTCGATGAATATTGGGAAATCAGTGAACTCAAATGCCCAGTGGAAACCGCTGGTTGGAAGGGCCAAGAGCCTTTTTGGAAGTTCATCTTCAGGGATTGCAAGGGTCCTCGTAACTTACCTCGCTCAGTTCATCTTCTGGCCTATCTTGCTGAAAGTTTGGGCAGCAACTAGATTTGCAGCGCCACCTGTTTTCTCGCCTGGTCTCTCTTTGAAAGCTGCACAAACCAAGTTCCAGTCTTGTCACATGATCCTATACAAACGACACAGGATGTTCAAAGGCTTTCGGGTTGATCTCCAAAGGTTCGAGCAACTGCGCCAAGGACCATCTTGCGACCATGGCCCGCTGCTGCGCGTCTAGGCTGGCTGCTCTGTCCACATGTAGTGAATGGCAAAGTTGACAAGCCGAACCCTGCCAGGGAACGAGACAAATAAAACGACATCACAATGCATCAGGACTTGAAAAAGACATCAAGACTCCTTAAAACCTCTCGAGAAATCAAACCAACCCCCTTGAGAATCCACCCCGGCCCAGGTTGGTCACCCACATGTTCCTCGAGCGAACAGAATGCATGGCCGTCGGCAGATGTGAGGGTGTCCATGGCTGCCGATCGTTGAGCCTGGCCGCTGTGGTCAAAACCAGGGTACCTGGAAGTCTGGAAGGTCAAGCTATATGCTATTGGCGGGGCTCCAGGTTTTGACCCATGCCCAGATTCCCTGGGAGTCTTTGATCTGAGCCTTGGATCGTTTCCCCGATCAGATCCAGGTATACACCCCAGTCATGGATGCCCAGTCGTCATTGATCACCCACGCAATGCCCAAAAGCAGGTCTTCCCGTGCGGCTCAGTCGAGACAACCGCTCCCAGTGCCCCATGCTCTAACAAAGAGCCTTGCTTTTGTGATGGGCAAGACCCTAACCAGGTCATAAACACCTTCTGTCTGTGTGCAGCAGGAAAAATAGGCAAGAAGTCAAATCGTCGGCGGGCCGCAAACACAATAAAAATACCACCAGATGACAGAAAAGCGGTCTTCTTGTCACAAGACTGCTGCCTGAATCTCTTTCAGAGGCTTCTCAACCCAGCCCAAGTCCTGATGATTCTTCCGAGGGGACCAAACACCTCAAAAACCACCAAGCGCCACGCATTCTTGGAGGCGACGCCTGTTCGGAGCGACCGACCGGGTGGTACCAGAAACTGCCTGGCTCCAGAAACTCCAGCATCGGCTGCGTGGGGTCATCCACCTTCGAACAGAACGCTCCAGCAACTTCGATGCCTGGTTGGACACAACACCCCAGGTCCGGAGCCCCGAATCAGGCGGAGAAGAACTGAGAAGAAAAAGCCTTAAAATGTGCAGTTCTACTGAGACGAGTCGTGGCCAAGAGGGGAATGAGTCGATGGACTGGGCTGTTGACCCCTGAGAGTCTAGTCATTGCCCATCATACTCCGGCCTGGTAGTAGTGGATTATGACTTCCAGGTGTGGTAGTTCGTGAGTCCAAGCGGAAGTTCAGGGTCCACGTCCCAACCGTGGCCACTTACCCCATAGCACCCTGTGCGTTTGGGGTTTGACAGTTTGACATGCTTTGAGAATGGCCAAGTTGGTCCCAAAGCAGCTAGTAGGAAGTAGCTACATTTCTAGGTGTCCCACTCTCCACATCCAGACCCCAAGCCCTCACCTGAAAGTGGCTCTTCCGGCGTGGCCCGGTCTCGAATGCCGAATTCTGGACAGCTTTTGGATCGTCGAAATTGGTTCGCGGTCCCTTCATCCACATCGATGAAGGTACGACGACTGCAGAACTTGGCCATGCGATGCTGCGTTCGTCCGGGCGAAGTGACACACCCCGGTCGCAACAACTTGGGCCGCTCGACCTGCGGGAGAAGGACTCCGACTCGCTTCATCGGTTGATAAACGGGTGGTTTTTTCTCCGATGCCGAGGGGAGTGCGTCTCCTTCAGTTTCTGTTCGCGGAAGTGGCGCCAGATGGCGCGGTGTAGTGTAGACCTGTATTTTCTTCAAACCGATCTCTCAGAACTTGTGAAGATGTTCGCCGCCACCTAGACTGCGAAAACACTTCAACTGACTCTGTCCCAAAAACTGTCCGGGATGGCAACCTGGCACCAAAACCAGAACATCCTGAGCATCACCCCCTCCGCTCGGGTGCTCTCTTTTGGAACGTCCCCACTCTGCGTCAACCTCACCTGGCACAGGGAAGACCGACGGATTTGAACCCTGCGATGGATTTGGAGTCCTCCTGCGGACGACTAGAGATCTTTCGGTCAATGTGACCTCGAGTCTGAGTAACGGGAATAGAAAGACATCTCATTCCATCTTGCACTTCTAATTCTAGCAACTGGAGTGAAGGCCATACTGAAGGTACCAAAATGTTCATGGTGGGTGAATCAAAGGTATTTGTGACATTGTATAAGATATGATATACCTGCCAAAAGCAGTATAGGTCTATGAGAAGTCGTCACTCTGGTATAGGCGAAGCATGAATCGCCTGGGAAAGCCCTGAAAGCTATGCACCCAGCTGCTGAGCTGCTGTTGCCCGTCTTCAGTCTGTCAGCTAGCTGCCCGTGTTCGGAGCTCCCGTGTTCGGCGCGCACAACCGCCTAAACCTCGGCCTTCTGGAAATCGCGGACCTCAGCAGAAAGAACTCTCTGGCCCAGAGTTCGGTGCAATGCCTCATGGTTCTCCCACCCAAAGACTGGGGCTGTGGCAAACCTCTCATGGCAAACCCCTCCCACCGTGCCACCGCCCACAGACCGCTCCACCGCCCAGCAGATTCGCGGCCCCTTCGTTTTACTCGATGGTCCGGCCTCACGAGCCTCTTGTGCAGCTGCACAGAAACAGCAGCAGCACCACATGGTGAAGTCCTGACCAACTGCGGCCGAGTCGGCATGGCCGAAGTCGGCATGGGGTTTTCACCCCCGAAGCGGCGTGGCGCTGCCAGGCTCGAGCGAAACACCGTTGAGACAGTATTCCCAAACCCACCCCGTTGGCCCTTGGAGGATGTCTATGTACAGAAACCAAACAATCGGTTGGTACAAAGCTTGGACCCTACCACCCACGGGTGGCAAGAGTGGCCAATAAGGCAATTCTACACGAACGAACAAACCAGATTGCGTCTGCGGTGGCGTCGGTGTGGCCCATTTTGCAGATTTCAACTGTCAGAACCGTTCTGAGCCATGACTCATGACTCCTGACTTGCACTCCAAGAGAAAAAGAAAGAATCTTAGATTTCGAAAATGTTCCAGCATCTTCCAACACGTGTGGATATTGGAATCGGGAGACTTGCCTGGGAGACCTTCCCATGTCTTGAGCTACACGCACACACTAGCTATCAAGGCACTCGCCTCATCTCTGCACCTCCAGAGTGGAGAACATGACGGATGGCACGGTGAATATATACGCGGTGCAAATCGGCGAAAATCGGCGCAGCATGTGTCTTACGGACTATAGTGGATGTGGACAAAACCTCAAGGCCAACATCCCTGGCCAAGGAAGAAGGCCACCAGAGTCTGCCAGAGTTCTCGTTTTGGTTTTTGTGCGGCAAGACATGCCACTTCTATGGCTTGATGAATAAGGAAGTCAGTCACCACCACTTCACGACCAAACACCCCCCGAGCGCACCTTCACCTTGTCCATCGTGTCGTTTTTGATGGAGAAGAGAGCGCGAAGTTGCTGCCGGTAGTACCTTCAGGTGCCCGCCCAATCTTGAAACGTGCAGCCAAATGGCAACCAAGTCTAACCCAACTCTGTCAATCCCTCAAAAAGGGAAAATCAAACACCAAATGAGAGTTTCTCCAAATGGCTGTGTGCTTCCCTGGTTCCAATCTCACTAGCCAGCTCGTCCTGGCATCCAGCCAGTTCCCACCAAGGTCGGTCCCACCTTCGTTCACCGCGAGACGAAGGGGTGTGTATAGACCAATCGGGAGACGGGAGACCCCTGAAATCTCGCCCCGAACGGAGCGATCGGACGCGACCCGTTCGGAGCTCCTGGGAGACGGGAGTCTTCGCCCCCGGGAGCTACGGGGGCCGACAGGCAATAACTCGTGCGTCTTAAGACACTTCAATTGAACTGGGTGTCATCGGTTGGTATCGTCCACGCAAAAAAAGAAGAAACACGTGCAATGACTAGCGACTCTCTTGTATACGTGAAACCAAACATTCGCGCAGCAGGGGTTTCCACCACAAGAACTGCAAAGAATCTGCGAAACGAGTGACTATGCAAGTAACTAGATCCTGATCTTCCTTCTACGCTCCTTCCGATGTTTGCGTTCGATCTCCCGAAGCAAACATCGCCCGGAGCGGAGCGGAGCTGTGCTGATGTAAGATCTCGATGAACACATGCAAAAAGGTCAACAACAAGAGCAAAGGGTTCCTTCCACAAGTTCATGCTTTGGAATCACCCAGGTATGTGTCCCTTGGACTTCCATTGGACTTCCATTGCTTCTGGCGTGATTGAAAAACACTGCATCTCCACGCAGTGTCTTGAATATTCTGATGGGGTGGTTGGTGTTGACCACCAAGTCCCATTCGTCTTCCGCAGCTGCAGGTCACGTGAAGAAGGCAGTGGAGCAGAGCCAGGCCTTTGATCACGTCACCCTTGAAGCTGAAACTGCCTACATAAGAAGCATTTAGAGTTCTTGCTCCTAGTAGCGATGCCTTTTGCTACTAGTAGTGTCCTTGTTACTAGTAGTAAGGCCAGGAGCTACTAGTAGCGTCCTGGCTCCTACATAAGCAGCATTTGTCATAAGGATTCACCTTCTTTTTCAAGTGGAGTGGTCGACGATGGGCCACCTTGTAATTATTACAAATCTCTTGCCGACATGTAAGATTAAGATTAACTCCCGTGGTAATGAAGCTGATAGGAGACTTGTTGGTCACGGCTTACTACGACTTTGTCAGTCAGAGGGCGAACATGTAACAAGTGTTGCTTCCAAATTTTCCGGAAAGATGTATTCTAGGTAGACGCAAGGTTCACATCTCCCCTTGCAATGGCGACGTTGTCGTCGACTACCCAAAAGAGGGTGTCCATTAGGAAGAAAAAAATCATACGTGAGAGGCCTGCCATGCTTGTCATTCCAATGCCATGAAAGTCGTTCAAGGAAAACTCAGACGTGATCAGTTTGGGTTCAAACAAAAACCACGTTCCGCGCTCGAGTCCAAAAAAAGAGAGCATCCCCGACGGTACAACCGACGGTCCAACCAACGAGATCCTGGGGCATAGGCTGCCAGACCCATCATCGGTCCATAGTCCTGCGACGCACAGGCGGCCGATCCGGGGGATTCGAAGGTGGACTGAATGACAAACCACCTGCTGTTGATATCTATATGGGTCTCAGCACAAATCCAATCCTTGTCAACCCCTTCTACTCCAATCGATGTCAAACACTGAATCTGTCCAGAATCCTGGATTCGCCCTCCTTTTTCAACCAGATCCTACCAGATCTCACCATCACTGGCCGCATCCCGTTGTTTCTGGCCGTCTCCGACCTGCGCAGCGGCACGGAGGTGGGCCACGAGCATGAAGAGGAGCAAGGCGGTCCAAAAGCCCAGGAGCCCAGCAGCCTTCATGGTGTCTGCCTGAGCGAACGCTTCATGTTTGCTCTCGGGAGCGAGCGCGCGCGCGCTGATGGCGCGCCGGGGTCGTGGAAGTATGAAGGTGGAAGTTCTAGGATTCAGACTACAAGAGAAACTTGGTGACACGATGAACATGCGACAACAAGCTGAAATGAGCAAGCATACATGAAGGCTAAGAAGGGCCTCCAGTAGATCGTCTCATGGTGTGCACCCACTGTTTGTTCTTGGAATCCTGTGTCCACCTGGGTATCTCCGCTCCAAAGCCTCCGCCCCCCGCGATTCCGTCGACATCCGTGCGGTGCGCACCGCGGCGTTTCTCGGGTCCCGTGCCCAGCGGAAGGGCATACAGCAGAAGGAGAGAAGCGAAACATGAAGATCCTGGAGTCGCTGCGGGCTCTGGAGTCGCTGTGGCCCAGTGGAAGAAGCCGTTTTTGTGGGGATTGAACAGCTCAGCCTGGGCGGGAAAATATGAAAGTGTTGAATGGGTGTGGTATATCATTACCAGTAGCAGTGAATGATGATGATGATGATGATGATGATGCTGCTGCTGCTGCTGCTGGTGGTGGTGGTGGTGGTGGTGTGATGATGGTGATGGTGATTGTGATGGTGATGATGCTTAGCAAAGGCCTTATTCCAAAAAAAAACGATCATATGTGATAATATTTCACTGACTGACTGATAATGGAACACCCTAGTTGAATGGGTGTGGTACAGGATCCATGCCGGCCTTCTCTTGATGGAAGAACTCTTGTTTGGAAGCTTCGCAAGCATCAAAAAGGTGCTCCCGGTAGGTTTGTACCGGCAAGAGGTAGTTTTGGCGTCCAAGGCCCAAGGCCCAGATCGTTGCCATCGTTGCAACAAAACAAAGAAAGGAGAGTGCTTCAAACTGCTAAAACCTCCAAGCTTGAAAAAGACTGGGGCAGATTGGATCCAACTTGAAAAGTCTACCAGAAAATCCCCCAATCAAACGAGACTAGATTGCTCCACTTCCCCACTGCGTTCTTTTAAAGTCCTTCTACAAGCAGCTCCTGTCAAGCCATGACAGCGAAAGCAGACTCCCCACACTGAGCAACTTTGCAGTGCAGTGAGCTAAGTGGACCACAAGTGTCCGGAACTGAGCCAATGAAATTAATTAGCTGGCGGTTTAGATTGACGCTTGAGATGTTTACAGCGATGCGAATCATGCTGGAAATCATCGTAGATCCTGTGACACTGATCGCCAGCATCTTAATTTCATCTGATCGGCTGAAGCTTGGAACGAGCCGATACAGGGTGGCCACCTGATGACGCCAGCACCCTCTATCCTTCAATCCCATTAGGCCCTCACTCTTGGCCTTTCGGTGCCCACCAACCACGCTAGTGGGTGAATCTGTTTCAGAGGGTGCGCGCAGGGTACGACCCCCTCGACACCTAGGTACGACCTGTGCAAAAGAAGGGTCATCATGGGTCATGGGTCTACCAATCAGTGGACTTACCAGCCACCGGAGCCACCGGAGCCACCCTGCCAATCTTGAGCACTTTGACTCACCCAATTGTTGGCTCACTGGGCCGGTCACGAGCCCTCAGTCGGAAAAGAATGGTCTCGGTCCTCGGATTGAAAGCAGTGGTCTTTGGGGAAGGTTGACAGAACCAGATCGATTCGTGACCACGTGACCTGTGATTCTGCGTGTCCAAAACGTGCCGGGAACAGCCCGGTCGGCGTTTCTGTTCTTGCCTTGCACTGCTGCCCAAAAGGTGACCAGGCAGGGTCCTCACTATTCAAGTCCTGATGTCGGGCCACTCATGTGAATTGGGACCAGCAGAAATCGCCTTGCAAGAGTAGGGAATCACTCAGAAGTTGAGGGTGGCGTGTTCTACAAGTCCAAAAGGCCTCATCCTAGGATGCCACGAAGACAGTGCACCTCCGGTTACAAAGCACTTCCAACCGACTCTTACATTCCCTCGCGCCTGCTTGTCGCAGCAAACGAAATCAGCAGCTGCTGGCTCACGCGGCTTTGACGCAGCTTTGGTCGCTGGCTGAGTGAATCCCGCATCCACTTCTGGACTCGCTTGGCCTTCAACTAATGAGAGCTATGAGTCCCTGCAGCAGCATTAGCTTCAGGAAAGGCCGCCATGCCAAGGAAGAGACGGGCACAGGTGCGGCACTGCTACTCACCTGAGAGAGAGAGAGAGAGTCCAGATGGCAGTGAGGCTAGCAGGATGGAGATTGCATCACGCATCATGTTGGCATTCAAACTCAATATTCCATGACAAGAAGCATATCTAACAAATTGGTACAAATTCCCCATTGTTTATTTCTTTCACGCAAGGATGAGGCAATGCATTTTAGCAAGAACGAGACAGTTTACTTCTAAATGTTTCGTGATTTTTCTACTGAAGATTAACTGCACAACACCTAATTAGGAAAGTGTTACCCCTCCTGGTTTTAAACTGAATGAGCTTTGTCGGTGCTATCTTTGGCTGGGGAAACTAGTGGCAACCCGATCTGGCGACACGAAGTAACGAAGCAACAAAAATAAAAGAAAAAACGCGACAGCTTCCCGAAGGAGGGGGTGGTGAGCAGAACCACCTTCTTACCCCAAGCTGTGTAGGGCATCCAGACTCCCCTCCCAAATCAATGCAAGCTACTGCCGGATGCGAAGAGGAGGTGGAACCATCGGGCACGGGGTCCATGCTGGTGCTGGAGGCCTCGGCTCTGCGGAACAACCCAACCACCGACGGAAGCCGCGGAAGCCGCCCGCGTTCGGCCCGCGTTCGGCCCCAATGGCCGCTGTGAGTTCTGTGAGGCGGATCCGAGTACGGACCGCTGTTCGCAGCATTGATTGACCAACGGATCCGGCCAAGAAAGGGAAGACACCCAGGTATCACATGGTGTCACCATTTGATCCAACACCGTAAGACGTTGAACGCGACTTGGTCCCGCGCATACAGCGAAACTTCTCCAAAGAAATGCCTCCAAACTCCCAAGCTCTGAAACATTGAAGGAGTTATTATGCACCAAAAGAAAGGAAAACAGCTCTTCCTCCGACAATATGGACAGCTCACCCAAAAAAAGTGATCTCCACTCGTGGTGATAGAATGGACCGGAATGGACCGTGTGACAGTCTCAAGAGTTGGACCGGTGCTGGAGAGCCCCAAAAAGAAGAATGATGCTGGGTGACCTGTCTAGCCAAAAATGGTCAAGGTTCATGAGGAATAACCCCAAGTTTGAGCCTTTTTGTTCATACAGGTCCATGAATGATGCTTCCATAGCCCAACATGGACAGTTTGGACGGACAACTGTACCACAGGATTGCGAATTTGATGCAATCGCGATAAACTGCACATGTTTTTCTCTTTGGACTCAATCGAAGTGATTTCACACCTGTTGTGCTTGTCCTTTGCTAGTCTGCCAGCATCGGCATCACGGTTGGGCAAAATCCGATTTGAAACCGCCTCAGTGATGGCTCACTGTTCTCAGCTCTAAAGCTCTCAGCTCGCCCGACTTCTCGGCCTTCGCCCGCATGCGGTGATTTCGAACTCTCAAAAGCCACCGGCTTCAAACGGTTTCGGTCTCCTCGTCTCGTTCTTCCAAAAAAAGGGAGCTCGTCTTGTCGGAGCCCTCCAACCGGAGCCGGACCAGACGTACACCCCGACACCAATGCAGCTGAAGCACCGTGGAGGAAGTCTCCGTGGAGGAAGCGCCTGTGGTGCTTGCGCCCGTGGAGCACACGGCCAAGGCTTTGAATTTACCTGGCCGTGAGCGCAACGCGGCCGGCGTGTTCAAGGGCAACGCGTTCGGCGGGGTCAAACCTTCTATCATCTCCCTCCGAATTCGTTGTGACGACGAATTCGAGGCCAAACAGAAACTGACCAGGGACATGACCCTGACCCTCTTTCTCGAAAAATTGAAACTGTCCGTGTTGGGAATTCCTGCTCAGTCCTTCTTTCTCCTTCCAAGGTCAATTGTGCCAGGCTACTCCGGGTATAGCCAGCGGTGGAGGGTGACACCGCCTCACTGTTCAAAGTCCCATCCCCCACAACCACTGTGCAGGAGGCTTGGCCCACGCACGCGCTGGCCACGCTCTCGGGCCTCAAGGCCATGCCAGCGGATGCAGCGCATACAGCGTTTTGGAGGGGCACCCCAAAAAGGGTGATGCACTAGAATCCCAACAAGGTACCAAGCACTAGAGAGCCCAAAAACGAACAAGACATGCAACATACCCATCTTGGTCAAAGTGTTTGGCCCAAACAAGGTGGTCATCCTGATGGTTCCGCCCCTGTTCCGCAACAGGATAGAAGTGGAAGAATCGCTGAACGTCCCCCCACAAGGTCTCCTTGGGTGAATCTGCCCCCCCCACTCTGGTGCGTCTCAGGGTCATGTAGGCCCACTTTCCACCTCGGGCAAGGGCGATGTGTGATGCGTTGACCCCAAATCCCCAGCAGCAGCAGCAGCAGTAGCAGCAGCAGCAGCAGCAGCGAGTTGTCCAAGAAAACGAGCAAATGAATGCAAAGGAGAGTCGTCCGAGCAGAGTTGGACAAACCAAAATACCATAATACTTGCCAAGACGGAAGACGGCCGTGTTCCGGCAGGAACAAACGTGGACCCCGGGCAATTTGGAGCTATCGAAAGGAGCGGATTCATTCAACACATGCTTTTCTGCAGTGAAACTATCAGAATGAGACAGTCAGAAATCATCACGGCACCATCTACAAACCTTGCAAGCGGGTCGACACGTCGACACCATCTACAAACCCCTTTCAGTTTAATCCAACATTTGAGTGAAGAACTAAAGCACCCGAGCACCTTTCAAGGGAGCGGTACTTAGTAGCTGATGGCACTGACATGCCCCAACGCTGTTGCCCGAAACCAAGCACACCCACTGACACCCCCCACACCAGCCCGACCGACCAGGTGGCTGGGATCTTCTGCGAAGGGATCTCCGCTACAAGAGCCGCCCACGAGGCCAACCGAGGCAAAGACCTGGGTGAAAACATGGACCTCAGTCCTTCCGGATCGGGGAGTCAGAGTCAGAGTCAGACTGGTGTATGAACTAAATAGCCTCAACTCCAAAACTAGTTAGGGGTGTGTGTGTGTGTGTGTGTTTCTCTCTCTCTCTCTCTAGAGCTCTCTCTAGCTCTCTAGCTCTCTCTCTCTCTCTCTCTCGCTCTGTGTTGTGATGGATTAATGTGAAACCCCCCAATATTTGGATTCCTGGTTCCTATTTCCTGAGGTCTCACACCCAGATCTCAACATGACACAAGGCAAAAGTGTGTCTTTTTTCAACCAACAAATGACCCGTGTGTGCCGTGCAGATAGCAGGCTAATTTGCGGTCTTCAGCGTATCAAGGGCAGGAGAAGCTGCAGAAGCTGGGAACAACGGAGTTGGGGTTGTTCCCCCCGGTTTCTCCCCTCCCTGGTTCGCAGTTCTCCTTCGACCGTGGACAGCATTTTCCAGCGTTTTCAACAAATGCCATTGAAGCCCTTGCTTGACCTGTCCAAAAACAATGTGAAGGTGTGAAGTGTTCAACAGGAACCGATGGAAAATGTGTTGCGAAAAAGATTGGGCCACACCTGAGCAGTTTACTCCGAACGCGACCAAAATCCGTCGAAATATCCCAGCAGCAAAGCATTCAATGGTTCCAGAGGAGCAAGAGATGCTCGCATCAGTGCCTTCGTTGTTGCCGGCAGGGTATTCCCCCTGGCCACACGTGATCTCCCGCCCAGTGGTGTCCAGACTTCCGCACATGTAGCCTCAGCGCGACCCAAACCCGCGAGAGGAGGAGGAGGAGAGGTGGGCGCAGCGCAGCGTAAAGGTAAGAACCCCGCACAAAAATGCTTGGGAAAAGACTCTGCTTCACCTTGAGTTATCGTTGAATTGCATTCGGTTCCACAGGTTTAGATGGGATGAATTCGGAATCGCCCATTTGGAGGCAAAATCCTCTGAGGGATCTCGGAGCAATCGAAATGAAGTCCAACACATCTTCCTGACATGAATCTTAAAAACATAAAGTAAAAAAAACAGAAGAAAGCAGCTTGCAAGTGAATCTTGTTGATACACCCATTCCACTGTCGCTAGCGCTCCGCATGAACGGTCCAAAAAACGTCACACATGGACCTGCTGGTGGATCGGGTCCGGAGCGAACTCCAGCCCACACCCCATGTGTGACTCGCCCAAAACCGAAGGAAAGACCACGGGCGTACTCACCCAGACGCTCAGCGCGTTCGCCGTGGTGTACTCATAGGACCCACTGCTCGCGGTGGTCGCGGTGGTCGTCGCACCGGAGTTCGCGCCGCTCGTGGTGGAGCCAGCTGGGATGGTGGTGCAGCCGGGAGGGCAAGGCTTGTCCGCCTAGGCCAAGGTTCACATACCCTCCAACGAAGGTAGATCTCCAAAGAATCATCTTCCAAACCGGGAGGGCACCAAGGCGAGGTTTCTCTGATGAATGAATGAAGCTATAGATGGATGTCTTGGAACATCTTGAAACTGAATCCCACAGAAGGATTCGGGTTCCGAACATAGAATCCCACAATTGTTTGAAGGTAAGGGTGCCTGCACGCACAGAAATGAAGGTTATTTGCAGCTGGTGCTTCATGTTTTGATTTCCTGTGCTTGGCATCCACATGCACGCTTGCGCATCCAGTCCAATCTGGAAGACCCTCGTTTATCCTCAAACCCTCTACTGTTTTTTGGCCAAGTGCTCCTGCACAAGTTCCTGTTCTGAGACAAAGACGTGGTGTATCCAGTTCGCGGTCTCTGTGTACTTTGCTCAACTCGGGTGTTGCTCCATTCACCTCAACGCCTAACGCCTAACACCTAACGCCTCGTGCTCCGGGTGAAGCCCAAAAGGATCGCTTTCAGCCGACTCCCGACTCGCCCAGGCACCGTGTAGTCCGGCGGGCAGGTCTTCCCTTTGTCGTCCGTGCCGCTGCAGGAGCCCAAGGTGGTACCCCCTGTGCCGCCACCGGTGGTGCCTGTGGACCGCTTGGGAGTTCCGAACACAAAGGACGCCACGAACGTCGCTTAGTAGCGTCCGATCGCTCCGGACTCGTAGTAAGGCCAGGAGCCCCTAAGAGCATCCTTGTTCCGTTCGTAGCGATGCTAGGAGCCCCGATCGTAGCTTCTTGCTCCTAGTAGAATTCGCAGATTCCAACAAAATCGATGGAGGTCATCTTCGTAGTTTGATCCTACCAGTGGCCAAGGGCTTTCGTCCAAAAAATCATCCATGGTCAGTGGGGGCGTCAGTTCTGGCGGTTGATTGCTGCGTCGCGCCGTTTTTCTTGCAAGCAAAACAAATGATCGAAACCCATAGCTTCGTTGGAAGAAGCCAACAGTGCACCGAAGAAGAGAAATCCGGAGTGCCCGTCTGCAGCCTCGTCCAATCCTTTGTGTGGAAATCCTCGACTGGGCACCCCCCCCGAAAAAAGAACCCTGCGTCCTTGAGGGGTATGAAACCATCCCCCAAACACAGTTGCCTTTGAAACCAGACAGTTCCATTAAACACTTCCCCGACAAAACCCTTGTCGGTGCTTCTAGAAGTTGTTCGTCTCAGCGCATGCTTTCTGAACAGCCCAAAGGCCTGCTGATCGATCTTGCCGATCTTGCGCAGAGGCTTTGGCACTTTGGATCCTTCTCCCCAAAATCCATCCCCAGGAGTCGCCTGTGCCAGTGGTGCCATCCTTGCCAGTGTTTCCAGTGGTATCGAAGCTAATGCCACTGGCCGCCCAGGAGTTGCTCATGGAGCAACAGGGCTTCAAGTCTTCGTAGTCGCTGCGGCTGCTCACATCCTGAGCAAAACAAGCAAACAACAAAAAGGTCATCTAAGTGTGCACCCCCTGGAACTAACATGGTTTCGTGGATTTTACCCCCTGGAAGCCTGGAAATGTGGAGGTTTCCACGGTCTGGAGGCCCACTGTCCATCCACGTCCGCGCGTTCTTGGGAGTGCACCTGTGGCACGCCAAGCTGTGCAACCGTTTGGCTTTAGAGTGTCCGCCCACAAAAAGCCAAACTCTGGAGGGCTCCTATCCTATCCGTCTCGTTCGTCGGACCCTGAAATGGAATTGGTTCGCTCCAGGATCCCCCGTGATGCGGATCTCGTGACGCTGGACGAACTGGGTTCGCCGAAAACCGGGGTGCATGGATGAAAGAGCTCAGCACTACTAACTCCTGCAGAAGATCATGGACTTCCACTAAAATTCATGGTTTGGTCCGTGGGAGAGTAAATTACATACAAAGGAGGTGAGAACCTCGTGGAATGATTCTTGATCTCGTGTCAAAATCGCTGTGGTCCTCCTCGAATCTTCCCTACCGTCACCCTCTTGAATCAGAGACAAAAGACTTGAGGTGTGGAAAGGGAAGAAGAAAACAAACAAAGGACCAAACCAAACCCAACCAACCAACAAACAAACAAACAAACACTTCCTCATCACATTTCTTCAGATAGAAGAAAGTGTTTCTTCCTTCCAGCTCTTACAATATCTATGTGGATCAGCTGCGGTCGATGCAGCAAGTCTGTGGCCAGGTTGGCCAGTGTGGGACGGTCAATCACCCTCTTTATATAAAATCTATGTCTATAACATTAGGAACAAGACGCTACTAGGGGCTCCTGGCCTTACTACTAGGAACAAGGAGGCTACTAGGGGCTCCTGGCCGTACTACTAGGAGCAAGTAGCTACTAGCAACAAGAAGCTATGAACATTAAGCTTTGGAGGGTGCCATAAGTGTGACCGCTTGAGGTGCCAAGATTGTGTGCTGCAGGATGATAAACGGGGAAAGGGTTGTCACTGTGGAACCTTCAAGAAGAACAACTTCTGTCGTAGCGATGTAGTCCACGCGTCGTATTGCTTGAGGGTGTTGTCATAGTTGGGCTGGCCCACGTCCATGCCCCCCTGCGTGTAGGGCTTGGAGGCATCTGCATAGAAGTTGGAGATACTGCTCACCTGTCCCTTGAAGCATTTCTTTGGCCCCAAGTAGTAGGCCGTGTAGTCTCCAGAGACCTCACCACACGGAGCAGGAAGGAGGGGAAGGAGCAGCTTTGCAGCTCAAACAGATGTGGGCAAAGCTGCTCAGGTAGACCCCCACTCCACGCCTCCCAACATCCAAAGCCTCTCACATCATCAACTCACCAAATACATGGCAAGCAACTAGCTGACTAGAGCCACTCCTGGTTTCCACACTGGGATGATAATGATAGCCATAGGAATCGTGCGAATGGCCACCACAGAGATCCAGATCCACATCGATTCCCGGTTGATTGGAGGCAGTATAGCGACCATACACCAGATATCCTCAGCGGAGTGAGTGAGTGAAACAGCAAGTTCATCCAACGTGGGGCCCGGAGGGAGGTTGTGGAGTGAACTCGGAGTCGGTTGTGGAGTGAACCGGGTGGAGCAAGAGAGAAGACACCAGAACTAACCTGGCAGTCTGTGCGATACACATGTCAGTCGCTATCACAGTCAACGACTTGAGAGTGCAATGCGATGTGAACAAGTTGGACAAGAGCTACACAGACTTGGTGAGCAACCATCGAATTTTGTTGCGGGCTATATGTAAATTCCATGTCGAATTGACTATGAATTCTAGCGAAGAGGTGATATCAGCAAGCAAAGAGTCTCACGCATTTGACTGTCTGATATTGGCTCTGTGCTGACCTACAAACCCAGGTGCTTTCTTCTGTAGAGTGCTCAAATAGTCTCACACCATATCGAAACCCAAAAACTCTTCCGCAGTCGTATCTGCACCCGGGTGCCCCTTAACAAAAGCACGATGTTCAGGAAAAAGGAATGAATTCCTGTTGAGATCATCTTCCTGTTGATTCCTTCTGCCTGTATATCCAGGCCCTAGGCGCCATCCAGCGCGTAACCAATCTTCACCGTATGGGGGTCGTTGTTCGTGTAGCTGTCGGCGGTGTAGACGCAAGCAGAGCCGATGGGGTCACCGTGGTAGTGGTAATCGCCTCCACCTGACTGCGGACATGTGGGAAATTCGGCAAATGGCTATGGCTCAAAGAAAATTGGTACTCATGACTCATGACTTATGACTCAAACCTGCAGGTGTTACTGTATTTCTTGGAGCCGCATGACCTGGTCACAAGGAGAGCTTCCTTCGCGCACTCATGTGAATGCGTGGTTCATCTTTGGAGGATCCGGTCATTAGCTTGCTCATAGCACAGAAACTCATGACCCATGCCATGGCCATGCAAAGGACCGAAGATCCACATACGTAGATGTTTGTCCTTCTTAGATTACTTTGACAGGAAGGACTTGGCGAGCACCTGTCGTCCTCTGCCCCAAAGATGTGAACAATCTATCCTTGAACAGAATGTTGAACCTAATATAGATGGCCTCCCCCTAAAAGCGATAGTCTCCAACCCAATTGCAATGACCTCCAACCAACCTAATAGCGATGGCCTCCTTGGAGAAACGCCTTTAGGTTGCTAGTAGCAAATAGCAGTTCTTGTCACCTGTCCATGATATGAATCTCTCCGAAACATGACACACCCCAACATCAGGCTGCAGAAAGGCCTTCCGGTTCTTTCTGTCACATGCTAATTAGTACCTTTTCAGCTGGTGAGAGGCCAGCTCACTCCAAGCTCAGCCTTAAATGGATTCATATGCGCCAAAGGCACGGCCCACGTGTGCATTGCACTTGTCGGCTTCACAGACATCCCAGACCCAATGGCCACCATTGTCCAAGCCTAGAGCGGCACGGAAGAAACACGAGGAAGAAGATCAGTCTGACGAGAGGGAAATTAGACATACTGTCAAATGACTTGTTAATGACTTGTGAATCTTGTGATCGGATTATGGCGTCGTGGTTGACACCCCGCAAAAGAAACAAAAGAACGGGCCTGCACCCGTCTTCCTCAGCATGTTCATCGGTCTGGCTGTCTGGCCACCACAGAACAGAACGCAGCTTGGGGATGATTGGGAAAGCGTCTGATCCACCTCTGGGCAACCGGCTGTGTGCCTTCCCCAGTGCGGAATGCAGTGAGAGAACCCAACTCCACACGCTGGGCAACCGGCTCGAAACAGAAGAATGACTCAGGTTGAGCGATGGACCAACAGGGCTTGTTATGTTCATTCCCCTTGGTCAGTGGAGAAAAGAAAGAAACACCCTCCGACTCACGTTCCAATGGAAGTGGAGTTCGCCACCTGTTTGGTATTCGGAGAATAGTCATCCAACGGGCCATGCCATCCATGTAACCGTGGGAGTGTAACACATCCGTTGGTTCCCCAACTACGACCCTTTCAGAGCCTTGGTTTTCCAAACGAACTCAGTGACTGCCTCAGTGGTTCATCCGGAAAGGTGTCCGCCAGTTCTGATTCTGTCCCAACGGTTCAGTGATATCAACGTTGGTTGTTGCAGGCTGTCCCTATCTTATTTAAATCGAACCTTGTGGATTCAACGCAAAACCTTTATTCTCTTATGCCCACGTATGTGGATATATAGGTTCATAATTCAAAAAGAAAAAAGGCGATCAACGATTCGATTTCTATCGAGCCGATTTGGCATTTATTGTTTATGATGTTTTCCTGCCGTTATTGATATTTGTGCTTCGAAGTCTGGGGCAAAAATCACCATGCATAGAGGCTTGCTTTGAGACGTTGCCAGTTATCCAAGGAAGTAGGTGATGACAAGTTGCCTTGCATATCACCTATACCGGTTCTCGACAAAAGACTTCCAGGTTCTTTGGGAGGAGGGCATGGTCCTCCGCCACTACGCGGCGCTGACCATGTTTGGGGTCTTCCACACCTTTCTCCAATGAATCAGAAAAAAGTCGACCAGGCAAACAAAGTCTATATGAATCTTCTGTGGATCATTGACTTCTGCTTAAACACTGGCTGCCTCCTGGCAGTGGAGAATCCGCATCGCTCCTGGCTGTGGATTTTGATCGGAGACATGCTTCGCGTCCATGGCACACCGGCCATGCGCGCATTCGTTGCCAACATGGACCATGTCATTTATGACCAACGCATGCATGGAGGCGACCGAGACAAGCGCACGAAGCTCCTCGCCTCCCTGGGCCTTTTCAAGGACCTGGCTTTAGATTGTGACAACCAACACACCCATGCACCATGGACCCCTTACAAGGCGGACAATCGCAATGTTTATCCAACCACTGCAGAAGCGGAGTACCCCACAATGTGTGCTTCACACAGTGCACCACCTGGGCCTACACTCTAAGATCCACCCCGGGCTAAAGGACCTCCTGACCTTTAATCTAGGCTGCCAGACCCTTCGCCACCCACCATTAATCCTTGAATACAAAGAGTTCCTGCACTTGGACCAACCGGTCACCGTCGAGGCATACAAACTCCTTGCGTCTCCCACACCGGGGGCGACATCCGAGACGCCTGAGGTGCCGCTAAAAAAGACCAAAGTCAGAAGCACTTTCAAGTACGGTGTGCTTAGGGACCCAGCGGAATTTTTGGAGGAGGCAAAACGGACCAAACACCCTGTAGACAGTGAAAACTTCTTGCACCAAGTGACAAAAGAAGCCATCCAAGAGGTTGTGTCAGAGGACCCAGTAAAGCTTGCAAAGAAACGCCTCCAGGTAGTTCTTAACCTGAGGAGTCTCTGCAAAGAGCTGGAGGACGAAGAGAAGCAGTTAAAAGAAGAAATGCACCCTGAGGTCAGGAAGAGAATGGCCAACAAAAACATCAAGCTCTTCCAACACCTGCTTCAGAAACTGCAGTACCCCGACCAGGGAGTAGTAAGCCTAATGACCCAAGGTGTACCCCTACTGGCACCCCAAAAGGCCCGGACCCTTAGTCGTGCCTGCTTCAATGACCCAGCAAGAATTGGAAGAGTCCGCAATCTGGAGGAGGGAGAGCATCATGGGATCTCGTCAGAAGCCAAGTTCCGAAGAAGAAGCAGACTTGATTGAATCGACGGCATCCAAGGTAGATCAGGGCTTCTTAGTTGGTCCATTCACCAAGGCACAGATGGATGAAAATTATAGTCACCAGAAGTGGCTCACCACTCCGCGGTTCGTATTGTATCAAGGCCCCAGCAGGAAGGTTAGGGTAATAGATGATGCCAAAGCTAGTGCCTTGAACCCTGCGTATTCGTCCACCTTTAAATTGCAGCTTCAAGATAACGAATACATTGCAGCAATGATTAGAACCACCTTGAATGAGCAAAGCCGCACTGGGCACTTGGCCGCCTGGCCAGGGCGCACTTTAGATCTAAGTAAAGCCTATAAGCAACTGGCCATCCTGCCCCAACACTCCCATTTGGCAGTGGTGGCCTTTCCGGTAGGTGGGAAATGGCGCTTCTATAAATCAGTTGCCTTGCCTTTTGGAGCTACGGGGTCGGTCTATGGTTCTGTAAGAGTAGCCCAAGCTCTCTGGTTCGTAGTGGCCAAATTGCTTAAAGCTATAACTTGCAACTACTTCGACGACTTCATCATGATCAAGAAAACCGAGGGTGCAAAAGTGTTGTCGTCCGCTTTCGGAGCCGTGCTTGACATCCTAGGTTGGGTCTACGCAAAGGAAGGTGACAAAGCCCTGGGGGTTACATACTCTCTTCAAGACACTCGCTTAGGCAGTTTCGAGGTTGCAAACAAAGCCGGCAGGTTGGAAAAAATTTGCGACATTCTCCAAGGCATCTCGGAAGCTGGCCGCATAACGTCGGCTCAGGCAGCTGAAGTACAAGGCCTGTTGAACTTCACTTGTGGGTTCCTTGCAACGAAAGGAGTGCGTCAGTTGATATCGGCTTTCGCTCCCTTGCTGAACATCACCCTAATCAGGATGCCACCAAACTGAAGGCCTTCTGTGCTTATTCAATCGCGCTCTTGAAACGACTCAGACCCCGCAAGCATGGAGTGAATGACCCAACAGACCCTATCCTCGTTTTCACAGACGGGGCTCTAGAAGGTCAGATCGCAACTGCGGAGCAGTGATATTTGACACCAGGTCAGGTACTGGTGAGTGCTTTGAGATAGAAGTCCCAAAGGAACTGTTGCAGGAGTGGCTAGCCTCTTCAGAGCAATGCATCAGCCAAATCGAGCTTTGGGCTTTCGTAGCAATACTTTGGCGCTATCGCACCGATTTTGCAAATCGTAGAGCTCTGGCATGGATAGGCAATGAAGCAGCAAGAATGTGCTGAATAAAAGCTTCATCCCATTCTCCAACCATGGCTGCGATGTGTCAGTTGGCATGTGAGATAGAGTGTTCACACCCGTCCATGTTTTGGTACGAACGAATGCCTTCGTTTTCCCATCCATCGCGAAACCAAGTCAGAAACGCTGCAAAGCTTCTCGGCCTCGAGCAAAGCAGCCGTCTGATATGTGCACCGAACCTGGTGGCTGCCACAGTCAAGGCGGGAAGAGAGCCTCACTCGGTTTCTCACTTTGCAGGGGCATAAATCCGAGAAACGGTAAAGGTGATATGCAAAACAACTTGTCATCACCTTCTTCCTTGGATAACTGGCAACGTCACAAAGCAAGCCTCTATGCATGGTGATTTTTGCCCCAGACTTCGAAGCACAAATATCAATAACGGCGGGAAAAATAATCATAAACAATAAATGCCGAATTGCAAATCGGCTCGATAGAAATCGAATCGTTGATCGCCTTTCTTCTTTTTGAATTATGAACCTTGGCAACTTGTCATCACCTACTTCCTTGGATATGCCTTGCATATCACCTATACCGTTTCTCGGATTTATGCCCCCGATGTACCAAGAGGGATGGGTTGGGTGGGCCGAAACTGCTAGAAAAGGGTTTTTCACCCTCCCACCCACCGCTTGATAGTTACAGTAAAAATGTTGCGATGGACAGATGTTTCATCCTCACCGTTTGGTGTACACTTCTCGTTTAGCACACAGCAACTGTCGTTTCAAACAAAGCGAGCACTCCTGATTTGTACAGTATTCTGAAGTGGCAAAGATATTTATACTTTTTACATTCACGAAAACGTGTCGTGAGAAGGGTTGAGGATAGTTCAAAGAAGACGCATCCAATGAGTGTGCACGTTCTGATTCGATGCTGTCATTTCTTTTGCGCTGCGTAGTGACGCGATAGGGGAGGAAGGAACCACAAGGCGAACTAGTTACTAGCTGGAGTAACAAGTCCTATCCGATTTTTAAAAGATGGTGCCCTCACTTCGTGACAGCTCTCTTCTCAAGCCTTTCTATGGCGCCGATATGGCCATATATGATCTCATGGCCTTCACTCCAAAACCGATGCCTTCCACATGCACTGCATCCACAGTCCCCAAAAATATACACATCCATCCATCATCCATCCATCCATCCCCCTGAAAAACCTCCTAACAGGTGCGAGCCTGGATAAAAGGGAACGCCATTCTTGCCCACACCAGAGGCGCCCGCCGGGGGATTGGGCGTCCATTCATAGGCTTCGTCCGGCGGCGAGGTCAAGGGAATCCTGGAAGAGGCGAGGCGAAGTTCGCGCCCGATCAGCCTTCCATCATATGGCTCGGTAGGTGTTCATGTGTTTCGAACATGATCTCTATCATGGAAAAAGATGTTGATTCCCAATTGATGTTGATATCCGAAGCTTCTTGGATGTGAACCGAAAAAGAGCGCATGTGCTCCATCAGGCTGACCATGTGCCCGACAAGGAGTCTACTCATTCTCGAGCACCGGGCTGCCCGGACCGCCGAGATCTGGGACAAACACCAAAAACACCGCAGGCAAGGTGTTTAGAGTTGGAAGACGTGTGACTTTAAATACCCCAAAATGTTTGGAAAAATCTACAGAATATTTCGAAGCCCGGCGATTGGGAGCTTCCTATCTGCTTGACAGAAGAATACAGCTGTATTTGCACCATGTGTTACACCTTATATAAGACCTCTGCAATAAGACCTCTGCAAAGGTTTGGGAGATTCCAAACAAGCGAAGGTTCCAAGTCCTTCAACTCGAGGTTTTCATAGCAGCAGAGTCGACGTGTGTAGCACCCAACATACTGTACTCCGAGTGGAGAATGGAGACCCACTATTCTCCACTGAATCCACTTACAGAATAAAAGTCCTTAAGAAGATAAAACTGCATAAAACCCTTTTATTTCAGGCCGGGGGGGTAAGCTGCTAGTAGAGGTGAGAGGTAGGCTAGCTAGAGAGTCGGTAGCTAGTAGAAGCAAAAGGGAGTCGCTAGTAGCTTAAGTAGCTACTACGTAGCATGCAGGATAGCTCATCCTTCTTCAAGGAAGCCCTCGCACTATTCATTTCGTTCCTAGTCTTTTTAGGCAAACTTAAGAAACAAAGAAACCCTTTCCCTGTAAGACGCCCTGTCCACTTCCCAACCACCTTTACCACTTCACCTTCACCTCCAAGAATCTTATAGGTCTGCGACTGCTCGATGGTCGACCGCGTCACGCACTCGTTCTCGTAGCCACCGCCGCCTCCACCACCAGGGGGTCGAGGGATGCTCGCCAGCGTGTCATCGGTGGGGGGCTTGCCAGCAGACCAAACCACCAGATAGTTGTCGTTGCCTCAAATCACACTGAGCTCTCACTTGACCAATCCTAAAAGCTCAGAACATGGTTGCTTTGAGTTCTGCACCACAGCAGCTGAACCACAGCAGCTGAGAACCGTGATGCAAGGTGTTTGGCATCAAGAATCTTTGTTTGTGGGCGTGCTTGGCAGAACTTGTGAGAGCTTTGTGCCTGCATTGTTGACAGGCTGCCTGCAGAGGCGTTTGTGACCATTGTCAAGATCTGACTTTGGCACACCAAGACGACGCTTCAACTGTGCTGCCCAGGTGCAGTACATAGCTTTCACAGCAGATGTGGCATCCGTGTTGAATACCTCTTGCATGCCAGACACGGAGCACCTCCCGTGGAGGGAATCCAGAAGCATCTGCAACAAATCTACCAGGTCAGATGGTTCAGGCCGGCTCGAGGGGGAGGAAGGACCACTGCTCAACATGTTTCTGAACAATCTCAACAACAAGCAAAAAGTGGGATCTGCCACAGCCTGCAGTCCGGCTCTTCCCAAACTCCCTCCCTCCCAAAGCAAGCCACCCCGCGCAACCCCTCCCCGCGGGGGTTCTGGGCCCGTCACGCCTGGCATCTGAGCTTTGAGTGCAGCTTTTGCAGGAAACGCTGCCAATAAGCTCTGGCCAATCGATGTTCGGATCAGTAAAGCTGCACGGTGAGTTCGAGACCTGTCGAGCCCCAGAATTCCTAAAAGTCCCCCGCGATGTTCACGGATGGAGACTGAGTGTTGGTGATGGAGCTTTCCAGTTTAAGTAGCTTGCTTCTTCCCACTTCTTGAAGTGTCTTAAGCTGGAACTGCGTGGAAGAAAACTCAAGTCTTTGATGCCTTGAATTGCGACATGAACCTCCGTGAAAGGCATCTTCAAAGTCTACCGCTTTCAAGCTCCTCTGAAAGAATCTATCGCGCAAGCGCGGTTTGCCTGCCGCTGTCTTGTCTCCCTATGCAGGACCATCCAAACAAGTCAAAAATGCTGAAGAATCCACTGCCAGCGACTGATTGGCATTGTGAAGGAGAACAATTGCTCAGCGCTTCACCTCAAGATGTCCACGTCGCGGAGCTCCAGTGACCAAACTCACGGGGGTGAAACAGGAACGAGAACTCCAAATCGATATGTGGAATCGTAGAACGTCCCCTTGATGGTGGCAAACCAGTGTCCACGGAAATACAATAGATTGGAGTATAATCCAGTTCAAACATATCAGTGATGTGATTTTTTGAATGTTCAGGTCTGCTTACACACCTACTTCAGAGGTGCCAAACGGAACCCTCTCCAAAAAGGAGTCCGTGTTGCTCATCATCTGCCCGGGCCGAGCTCGAGTTACTCTCTTCACTTCGGCCGGTCACATGGTACCAGTGGAGATAACTCGTCAGACTCAGTCGGAGACCACTCCCCAAATAGATAGCACGGTGAGCTCCCAACACATGTTCTACCCGCGGATCTACTAATGATATTTATATATATATATTAGTAGAGATCTACAGTTTCCAATACAGTTTTGTATGATATATTCTATCTATTTGAGGATCTTATGTACTCCTTCTTGCATGGCTGGAGCTCCATGCCTTCGTGTCCTTTCGTCCAACACCCCCGCGAGTCCTTCGCCAGTCCAACGAGTCCAACGAGTCCGAAGGTGACGTGGAAGAGAAATAGAAGTGAAGGAAAGGTCTCGAAGTGCAAAGAAAGAAACCAAAAAATAACAGGAAAAAACACACATAACTAACTGATGTAAAAATCCGAAACCAACTCATTGACCCACAAATACTCTTCAAGCAGGGCACACGTTTCGGTGCTCGGCACGATCGCCGCGCGAGCAGCGAATGCGCCAAGCAGGAACCACCGCCCCATGGCGCGAAGATGGGCCATGCTGAACCTAATAGCTAGGGCCTCCAACCTCCCTAGTGAAGTACGGGCTCTTCAGGTACGCACTGAGACCTTTCCAAGACCTGAAGGTGATCGGTCCCAATGCTTCCTTCCTTGGAAATGGTGGCTCCCAAGACCTTTCCAAAAAAGATCAGTTCCCATGTAACAAGTGTTTGATTCTTGATCCTTCTTCGCTGTGCGCCATTTTCGTGTTCCAAGCCTCGCCTGATCGCCACACCAGCAGAGATTGGGTCAGGCAAGTGCTCGTTTGTCGTTTCTAGCGGCTTGGACGTGTGATGTTCAAACGGAATTGATACAACACCCTTGGCCATTATAACCAAGAAAGACTGTGTGCGCCCAAGGATGCCGATCAAAATGCTTCGTTTTCTGGGAACCTTGCATTCCTCGTTGCTTGGAAAGCCCTGGAAAACCGCAGACAGTGCACAGGACGATTCAATAGCCCAGCAATTCACACCCCCTGGAGGTTCAATGATTGTGGCACTGTTGATCTTTGTGCATTAGTGGGAGGACACGTTTGCCTTTTGCCATCTTCATTTGTACAAACCATGGCCAGTTCGGCATCCGTGGCGAACACTGAGGCCGTCTCGACGTTCTCGGCTCGGTCCTCATGGCAGCTAAAGGCACCATGGGAGAAGCTGTCGGCCTCTTTGGCCTGAAAAGGATGCCCAGAAGAACTCCAGTGTGTCCAGAGATCACAGGTCTTCCTGGACTTGTTTTTCCTAGTCTAAATAGTTCACGTTATAGTCTTCATATATCTTCTTATGAAAGTTTATGGATGTTTATGGTATTTGTGAAGTTCATCTTCATCCGACCTGTTTTCCTTTTGTCCATTTCTGTGATTGATGGAGTAGGGGACTGAAACACCAATAGCTTTCTGTAAGCACGCGGACACCAAGTTCTACGTCTCCACATGTCCGAACTGCGCAGACGCCACGCCGGACGCCACCAACCTAACACGCCCCCTCCCGCTTTCAAGTTCAACTCGCGGCTCGTTTTGGCACCTTGATGTCACCCAGAACCGGATCGGCCCAAAGCTTGGTGTAGAGGAAGCCCAAAAGGCAGACCTTTCTCGCTCGACGAAACCGGAGGCGACCGGACCGGAGAACGCGCCGAAAGGAATCCAGGTGTGGACGTTTCAGGAGAGAAATCCCAAGAAAGCGCGGCTTGGGAACGCGGCAGTCGCTTTCTGGGACATCACTGGAAAACTCTTCGTCGAACAGAGTAGAAGAAACGCAAAGACAGAAGACCAACAAAGGATCGGAGAGAGGGGAAATGCACGGTGTCTACACGTCTTCACTCTGCAAAGAGATGGTGACGAACGTGCCATACTTCGCATGTCCAATGTGGGCGCCTCGAGATTTGATGCGAGATGTTGGATTTCGTCAGCTAAAGTGAGGAACTTGGGCAAGTGGTCTAGAATGGTCTAGAAACCAAAGCAAATCATCACACGTAGACCGTCCAGACCTCAGAGCCTCATGTCCCCACCCAGCCGTGGCGTTGCCCACGGCCATCGTCCCTTGGTCCCTCGGTCCCCCAGACTAAAGCGATGTACCCGAGGATGACCAGGACCAGCATTCCCACATTCGCCCAGGCCTTCTGCTGGGCCTGCCAATGGAAGGCCAAAGGGAGGAATGATGACCAATGGACCAAAGAAAGCGAAGACCTCAAAAGACCTCGAAGTCCTCACATTCCCGAGTAGACCCTGACTTTCCAAGGAATCGGTGGGTTGGTCAAGACTTGACCAGCGAGCCAACAAGTCAAAGCCCACAGATTCATGTTGACGTTGTGCAAATTCTTCACGACCACTACCAAGTGGTATCAGTAGAGTAGACCACTCAAGCCTCCGCTCATCGCTATGTTCATGCCTTCTACTCCCTGATCTGTAGTTCTTGGCTGCTTTCATGTGCATCTTTCTCTTGACTTTTTGGAAGCTCATTCATGCCCCAGCCATGACAACGCCCAGTGTCTTGTTTTTTCCACACACACCCAATCCGAATCGAGGCCCGCCGGACTCCGTCGAGCCCCCCGCCCTGGCGGAGAGCCATGCGCGGAGCCCATCGGTCCTCCTTCACCAAGTGCTCGATCTCTTGATCGCTGGAGGGCCCCACGTGGACCACCGGCAAGTCCTCCCATCGCCATTGGAATGTCTGAAGTCAGTCCGGAGTGGCCTCTCCGAGGGTTGTATCCAAGATGCCAGACGATGAGAGAAACTCCCAGTCCCAAAAGAAAAGAGAAGAGCATTTAAGGGGATTGACATTTCGAGTCACTAACATGGAAGTGGATGGCACTTGTTGTTTGTACAGGAAAATGGTCGTCCAAGGGATCAAGCCATCCACTTCCATGATTATTTCAGGGAGTGCAATGATCGCTTTTGAGGCGAGAGGGACATGCTTCGGAAGGATGAGTCTGCTGGTAGTGTTCATTTTTTGGGTGATATCAAGTTTTTGTGTTTTTCTTTTTTTCGGTTTGCAAAGGAGTTGAAATGTTGTAATTCCTTGAAACACCATGCAGATCTTCCTCTCTTGGAGAAGCAACCAACTCATTTGACAGGGTCCCACCTCCACGGATCTGACCACACAGCCCGAAACCAAGGGCCCTGTCGGGCCTTGTCCATCTTGGGATCGGCCGTCCAACGGCCTGCAGTTTTGATAGCTCACTGTATGGCAAATAGGAACCCAGAAACCCTAAGGGGTTGAAAGTACCTGAAGCAAAAAGCTCCCCATATCGGTCGGATTCAACAAGCCTCTGTTCATCTTCTCAGTCTTCTGAACAGAACTGATTTACAAGTGGAAACGGCATGGCCTACGGATGCTGAACCAGCTATCACTTGAGTGTGGCCATGTGTGGCCTACATACCGGCGACTTCATGGGAAGGTGTGCAGCTTTTCACATGTGTGCGTATGCCTTGGAGTCACAGGGGCCCTTTTGGATTAGAGATTTCTTTACGTTTTTATTGCTTTAGCAGGGGCCGCCGCGCCCGCTGCGCAAGAGAGAGCGGAACCCGTCGGTCGGAGTGGGGAACCGGCAAGTCATTTGCTTGAGCGAGCTTGACCGAACGAGTCAAAGGGCAGTCACTGCCTGTGGCTTACCAAAAAGTGATTCTGCATTGACCATTTACAGCCTGGATTTAGGGAAGCACTCAACTTGTTTTTTACAGCAGGGGGCACGGAGACTGATTTCATATCCGTGCCAACTACGTAAATCAGTCGGAGGAGAGTTGGGACGCCAACTCTTGTACCTGCGCTAGTTTGGACTTTTAATGCAATCCGCAGTCACGCACGACCGCCGTCACTCGTTTCGTCGATTCGGGCTCTTGAGCTTTTGGCCTCCTCTTCGTTTGAAGACCTCCAGGATTCACAGGTTTCGGTGTTCCTCTCAGGAATCTGGTCCCTTAGGTTGCCGTGTGGCGAGTGGCATTCACATCCGTACGCAATTCAATAAGTGTGCCTCTCCTCCTGAGAGCCCAGGGTGAGCCCGCAGAGTGCCCCCTGTGGACCCGTCGAACGGGGGGTTTGTCTTTATCTCCCCTGCCCGGAGCGGACAGCAGGAGGCTTATGCCAAAGTTAAGTTGCCAAGACCCGACGGATTATCTTGAAGCTGACTTAGCCGCCGCCAGGGCCAAAAGGAAACCCGGTGCGGTTCCCGCAGACCTCCAAAAGAAACAGGACTGCCCTCGGACTGCCCAAAAAGGGGCCAAAGAAGACCTCCCAGGGTGTGCCTTCCAGTAGCGAGACCTCGCGTTCTGCACCGCCCGACCGGTGCTTCAGTTCCGTTCAAAACCGGTCCACCCAGCGGTCTGGGGCCGGGGATGGTCTCCCCGAGTTCAAAGACCAACCAACAAGACCAGCAACTCACTGCCAATGCAGCTGCAGTGGCTCAGAATCATCTCCATGACACTGGAGACCCTGGAGGTCTTTCCAGTGTTCGCCTGACGTGCGAATTCGCGCGCGCTTTCGAAGCAAATCATCGGAGTGGCATTCTTTGTGTAGACTCTTGATTTAAAAAGACATCATTGAGATTGTAAAACTCTTCTAGTTGGAGGGTTTATTAAGCAAGTCCTTTTTTTAATATGATCCTTTAGATTTTGCCTTCACGATTAAAATACTCACATACAACCCTGGTACTTGAGCTATGTACTGGTCTTCGGGTGTCTTTGCTACTTTTACACCCTTCAGGCCTACATGAGCTTCAAATATGGCCTCTTGACTTGCAAAGTTCGCCCACCTTCTCCTGTTGGAGGGAACTTTGGATCTTACACCTTCAGAATCTATAGATGGCACCGCTGGTTTCGGCGTTCTCTCTTCTGACTCGGCTCCTGTCCACCATGTCAGATCTCTCTTCAAAGCTCCCAAAAAAACTCCCGACTCGATCGTGGGGGCTGTCTTCGCGATTCGCATGGGGGGTTTTCGCACAGAGGACCACCTATGCCGGCAATCAGCTTATGTCTAGGTCTAGGACCACTGAATCCAGGATCTGGGCGTCTCCTGAATTTTCCATCTGAGCAGTTCTGAGGATTTGGATGCCGAGGCCGAGCACCGAGAGCCCATTCCTGTTTCAGGATGTCTTCCCTGTGTGGCTGTGGTTAAAAGGCCTAGGATTTCCTGAAGGGTCCTTCCCGCTCACTTCTTTCCCATCACCCAACAAAAGTCATCAGAAAGGCCTGATCTATCACAACATGGAACTCGGATTCTGAATTGACTGCACTCCTAAGAGAAGAACTCCTCTTCTAACGCACGTTAGAACCCCTTTGCGTCGCACCAGCAAGGTGGACTCGCCATGCCCTGGCGGGTCCAGTAGGGTGGTGGAGGGACTGGCTCAGCAAGAGGACGTGGGCAAAGCGCCCCAGTGAACTCTGGGTTCGGGTTTCCAACAACAGGGTCTTCTCGTGTTTGGCGGGGTCAAACGCAGTAGAACATGGGGCTGTCTTCCTGTCTGAATATGGAGGCCACTCAAACCATGGGTGTGTGTGTGTGTGTGTGTCT